CTAGTTCTACTCCTTCAGAGATACACAGAAACTCCCTGGCATCTTAACATCGCCCTGAAAGTTTCCTCTCCATGGGCTGTTTGGTATGCCTTTGACTTCATCTACTGACACACCAGGAGGCAAAGCAATAGCGCGGGATCTTCCCTCCCAGCAGGAAAAGACTTCTTTGCTTCCAAGTTCAGAGAGTCAGTCACATGTCATCTGGAAAAGCACCTATTTCGTACCTGGATAAATCAAACTTAGCATCTTGAGCTATGTAGAAATGTAGTATTAGAGAAGTCAGTGTATTAAAAAAAAAAAAAAAGGCATTTTTAAAATGTCATCTTCTCCTCTATCCATACTACAAATATAACCCAGAATGCAATCCTATGACCCTTATCATTCTGTGCAGGTATACAGGACAAGGAATACTTCTATTCATAACATATACTGCTTGCAAGTTATCCAAGGCATTGCTAAGGAATTCCGTAATTCCTACTGCATGATGTATATGATCAAGAGAAGGAAGCAACTGATTGAAATGGGAAGGGAAGTTGGGTTAAGTGTTCAAGTGTTCTTCAAAAGTAAGTAATAATATCAGTGTATATTGCGACCACTGAAGTTTTGTGTTAAGGTAAACTATGAAGACTACTACTTAGGAGGGTACTGAAGAAACGAACAACAGGAAGCAGGCTAACAATGAAGGTTACGGGGGGAAGGGAAACACATCAGCAAATAAACAAGAACTAATTTCAGAAACGCAAATAGCTACTTCTGCGCTGGGGGTGGGATGCACAAGGGAGAACACAGAGACTCTCAAAATGTACACTTATTAAAATGACAAATATGATGACGCAACGTTGTGCTAAAAAGTGAGATTATCACACCTGTGATGCAGAAATACAGGAACCAAATACAAAGACAACTTTTTGGCTACCAAAAGACTTAAGAGAATCATACAAGCTTTTCTACTACTTCTGTAAATCTGTGATATGAAAGTATTATAAGGATTCACGAGGTTTATCTGAAGTCAAATCACTTCATGGGAAAAAAGAAGATACTGGCTTAACAGCTTTACAGTATTAATTAACTTCATAGTTAAAACCTGTCTGCTTAGTATTTTACTTTCACCTGCCCCCAGAACCCATTTTGGACAATTACAGGAAAAAATATTAAAGTCTGAGACTTCAATATAGTTTCCAAAATAAAAAAATTCAGGTGACGTTTCAAAGAGTGACCACTATACAAAAAACAGGTCTCTCTTTTGAAACATGAATTCAGTCAGTCTTCTCTTGAAATAACATTAAGCCCTTAACTTAAGACTCAGAAAATACAAACAAAGGTTCTGTAAATAACTTGAAGGCAAAAGCACAGTAACACACACAGAAGCACTATCAGTGTTCTGGGTAATTGCCATTCTTACACAAAGTTACCCAATATCCCAAGACTATAGTAAGCCCTCTGTATAAAGCCTATTATCTACCCTTTGGTTTCCATTATAAGAAGGTATCTAATTCTTACCAATTACAGGGATGCTCAGAAGCTCCCCAGTGAAACTGAAGGAAGAATCTTTTACTGACAATAGTATCAACAAATGTTCCTGCTAATTTTAAGTTTTTGTGCCTACAACAAAGCCTGGCAGCATTAAAGAAGTCAAACCAGTCCCAATACTCACCATAGTGAGTTGAGAATTCACATTATTTTTGCTCCCATATTTGTGCAAGTAATACCATACTTCCACCACCATAATTCTGCTCTCCCAAGTGGGAATCTTGCTCTTACTTGGACAGTTTCTTCCCTGCCTTATTTTTTAACTACCAGCTAAGAACTTTTCCGCAATCCCCTACCCATTTAGTAAAGTAAGTGCTCTGCAGACTGCAGGGCACCTGCAGGGCCACAACAGAGAAGCCTGTACAGCAGGCACACTGAGCGCAGGTAGGCTCCTGTCCAAAGACCACTGGCTTAGCAGGCCTGTAACGACTCCATGGGCCTCATTACATGAGCTGGGCATACCTCCATGCCAATGAGGCTACCTGGTTTTAGCACAACAGCTAGTTTAGGGTACAAAAGTCTGCCTACATCAGTCCAACAGATACCCCTAGGGAATCAGAACCCTTAAACCTGGGTTTTTTTCCCAGGTCAGAGTACACCATCTTTGAAGGCATCGCTGAGGAAAGCCATCTGTTGCTGAGGAAAGCTAAAGTGCTGTCCTCGTTTGCACGGACGAAGATAACAATTCATTTTCTTAACAACTTTGTCACACTTTTCAGATAAAGACTGCTGTAGTTGCAAACTTAAATACTCAGGTAGGACTAGGTAATATTTTCAAATACATTAATTGCTTACTGAAAAATCTGTCTCTGGTCAACACAAAACTATTCATAATGTTGAACTGAAAATTTCCTACTTTCCATAAAATAGTAATACACGTGATGACCAAAACCAGTTTCAGGTCAAATTCAATGAAAATGTAATTACCCCATACAAAGCAAAGCAACACCAGTGGGACAGATTCCGGAAGCAGCTTTCAAAATACTATTACAGTTGCTAAAAAAATAACTTTATATTTGGAAATATAGGGTCAAATTCCTTCAGTTAGAAGGAATTAAAGACCTCTCCAACATGTTAGGAGTTTAAAGTGTTGTATATAAACCCTTCTTTATATAATGCATTAACTCTGGCTCATCAGGCGAGAGATCCAAAATAGAATGAAAACAAGCATGTTACCAATAAATAATTCTAAATGAATTACTAAAAAGTTAACTGATTTATATTAATATATAAACATGTAAGTTTATCTTTACTCATTCCAACCTAAAAAGAAAAATCCATTCTTCACATATGCTGATACATTTCATTAGTGAGAGCCAGGATAGCTAGCAGTTTCAGCAAAAGCCTGATTGATCCATTTCAATTGTACTGCCTTTGGGATTATTTTTGGAAACAAAAATTATCATAGTAATTAAATTAATACAAGCATTCTATCATAAAATCATACGTAACTGAACGTAAAAGTTCAGCAATGCTTCACAAAGGTATTAACGAGCCTGCAGATACTACACTGAGGCAATTTGTTGATATACAATACAGGTATATACTTAGTAGTGTAAACTCCTCAGAACTAAACTCAAAAGTTATTTTTATAACGCTTATGTCCTTTCTATAAGGTAGCATACACAAGTCCTAAAGAAACTGTGCAGCATACTTTTATAAATTACGAAGCCCCCATAATGAAGAACAGAATAGAGTAAATCCTTAATATTTACTACTTCTTGCTGAAGGGGGGGGGGGGGGGGGCGGGGGGAAAGCATTTTCAATGGTTATCATTCATGTTCTTTGTAAACTTGCTCCTTCTACAGTTAAAGGCCTGCAAGTTAGCACAGACTTCGGCCTTCTTCTAGAACACAGAACTGTTCATAACTATGCTGGGAACTTTCTACCAGAACAGGGAAGCCAGTACCAAATATAGAGTTAATAAAAATTATTAAAGCACAACAGTGAAAGAAAATACCAACTGTGCTTTGCAGTGCCAGAATAACACTAACAAAATGTCAAGTTATTCAGCCATAACAGTAAAAATACAGTGTTGCCAACACAACTTATACTTACATATAGGGGGGCTTCAACTGACACAACCATACCACCTACAGATTACATTTTTTAACTCACTGCCTAAATTAAACTAGTAAAAGCTTGATATGTAGCACAGCTGTAAAGATGAATTTAATTTCACATGAGCAGCCCCAGTGAAAGAATTACTTGTATGCAAAAAGATTGAGCATAACAAAGGCTTTTGTGAAAAAACAGGATCTTAGAATGTAACTGTATTTTATTTTTAATTTCATCCCATTTATTTTTATTGGAAACTTTTTTTTAAGCTTCTGGGACTACAACAGCATTTAATCATTCTAACTGTTATTATGTAGTGTTAATGACCACGTGGAACAATTATATTTGAAATACAAATGCAAAAATAGATACAAGTGATTCATTATTTGTTTTTTTCTCCCTTTTAAAAAAAAAAAAGTTCTTTATACAACCCAAACCAACCCACCCCCATCCAAAAAAAAAAAAAACACCCCACCACTCAGCCAGTTTTACACCTTTTACACAAAGTTCCAGAAGAGATCCACTACTTTAATTAGTGTTTCAAAATTTTCTGCAGTGAACATAATGATTCCACAAATAGGTCACATACAAAGCAGTGCAGAATTTGTCCTAGAAAACAGCTACTATAATGAAAAAATCCTAAACCAAAATAGTACTGTTGCACCTGCTGCTATTTAAACAAAGTAAAAAAGAATAAGTAATGTTCTTAAACAACAGGAAAACTGATCTCCTAATAAAGTACAGTTGCCTGCCCATAACTGCAAAGGACAAACAGGAATACATTTATCAGGACTGCAAGGTTACGGTGCAAGCTTTGTTGAATTTATCATAGTCAGGGTGGAATAAAAGCAAACAAATGGCCACATACACAGGCTTTGAAACTACCTATTAAAACTGTCAGTTCTCATCTTAATTAAGCATAACAAATCAAAACAGCTACCAAGCAGATTCTCACATTGCCTCAATCTGCAAGAACCTGTTTTTCTGCAGAAATACTATCACAGTAGTTCAGGTTCTGGCTTGAAATTCTTCTTAAACACATTATATATGGTTAACAAAACATTATCTGTAGTGTTTTGTTCTCCATAATCTTACAAATTCTTTCGTTATAAACGCACAAAAAGTTAAGCAGGATCTCTCTATTCTACCAGAATACTTTGCATTGGCAATTATGAAGTGAAAATAACAGCAGAAGCAAGTAATTTGCAGATCTTACTTTTCAAAATTCTTAATCTATATTTTAATAGCCTGATGTATTTAAGACAAGCCATCTATTAACTTTCCTCCTCTTAAGATTACCTACCAATTATATTACAACTAGTGCCTCTATATATAGATATATATATATAAGGAAAGAACAAGAACGCTACAGAAACAAAATAAAAACACAATACTTATTATAATGACCATACCTAGTAATAAGAACCGCATTATCATGGTGGGCAATCCCATTTTCTGGAATGGTGTTTCCATCACTTTGGTGGGAGAGAATGGATTTCTGCCACTTACAGAAGCTATCGAGGGACTTGTCTGCATGGTGGTTTATCTCCAAGTTTGGCTGCAATACAACATGCATACCAGAAATGTTCCAAACAAATTACTAAGGTCAGTTGTTAAGCCTTTTGAAAACTAAAATGGGACTATAATTAGAAGCAGTGGTTTCTAGGAATAAGCTCTTCTTGCCAAATTTTATCTCTGTAAAATCTGACCCCAAGTTCAGCTGTGTATTACTGAACAGGCATTCTTTCTGCTCCAACTTTAATAATGATTATGTCAATTAAAAAAAAAATCAGAATATCAAAATATACATATAAAAATAAAACTGACATCCTCGAAGGTGTATTAATATTCACCTGACGTAAGCATAGATTCCTTAGACAGGATACATGAGGAATATTCCTTTGAACTCTTTCATCTTGATTAAAGTAGTGAAAGATAACAAGATAGGTTTTGTACTCAGATGCAGTCATTTCAAGCAATAATCAAATGAAATCTATATTACGCACTAATATAATATGCATTTCAGGGATATAAAGTTTATTGCAACAGCTCTTACCTGATCTTCAGTGAGGACAATTAAACGTGTCACTATAATATTCACAACGTTTCCTAGACTGGAATCACGATAAAGTTTGGCAACCTGACCTCCAGAAAATAAGAAAAGGCACAAAGTCAGACAAGAAACACTACTTCTTTGCTAAATGGTTAAAAAAAACCCTAATTTGTTGCTCCATGTAATTTCAGAATGTTAATTATTATTATCACCCGAGTAAGAGTTATTTTTGGACGAAAAAATGACCATTCAGGAAAACAAACTTCTTGGGTCACACATTTCAATCAAAACTGTTTATACCCTGTTTCAAAATTCATCCAGGACAAGGAGCACTTAGACTGTTGGCTTAAACAGAATAGAACTGTATAATCTAAACGTAATCATATGAATGTACAATTAAAGACAAACAATTTAGAAGTGATCACAACATACTTTGACAGAAACCGTACCACATTCTCCTCACAATGCTAACTTCTGTCGTATTTCAGCTATAAATCTGCAAGCTGATACATATTTTAAAGCATTATTCATGCCAATAAATAAGTACTTTACAGTTCCTTTATCACTTCAGTACATGCACATTGATATGAACACAGAGAGGGACAAAACTTACAATATTCATTACACTCAAAATGTAGTGTTCAATGTCTTTGCGACCATGGTATCCCACCATCATTTTGTCTGCTACTACCAGCGTCTCCACAAATCGCTCTAGGCTTACTGATCTCTTCTGACGACTGTGACTATTTAACGTGTCATTGACTGGAAGTGAAGTTGGAAAAGCAGATGCATCACTCCTCCACCAAGGTTTACTGCTTCTTGTGAGGTCTTCTAGGAACCAAAATAATTAAACACTTCAGAGGGGTCACTCGTAAAACTCATTCAAACACAGCTGGTTTATGTTGAGATTACCATCTTCAAGCTTCTAAAAATAAGTCTTTCTTGAGGCAAAGAAATATCAAATTTGTTATCTTTTTTCTTATTATTTTACAGTACCTCATATAATGGAAAACCAACTTTGAATTCTAATATTCTCAACTTGACATATGATTAAAAAAATCATCAATCTTCTCTTAACGGATCTTATGCTGCACTTCTTTATTACTAAAGATTACTTATAGTTAACCACAAGATACTTCAATATTTCAGGGATAAGAACAAGACAGCTATAACATTTGGAAAAAACATACTGGAAAGCAAAAATTCAAAATTAAGGTAAAAGGTATCAAAATATACTAAGGAACTAAAGATGCTGATAAAGCACCAAAAAAGCTTTTTCCCTTTTGTGAAACTCTAATTATCAGGCAACTATGCTTACATGCCTGGTAGTTTTTGGGCCAAATAAATAAATTTTCTCTTCAGAAAGTTATCAGATTATGTTTTATCTACCTCATGAATCAGCTATAATGGGAACTTCAAAATGGCCTGACATGGGATAATTGCTAGAGTTATTTTTAACACTAATTTTCATTCAAGTATGTTGATTCTTTTATGTTTCATGTAACTATACAGAAAAAAAATATTTCTTGCATGCAAGAGATTGATAATTAAAAATCCAAAAGATTGTAACTATCAGCAAAACAAACACTACAGACCTACTCTGAATGTGAATTCATGTCTTCAGGACAAAATTAAACCCAGCCTTCCCTGCAAAACTGCCATTTTTTTGTGTATTAAATATCCCTTTTCCTTTTCCACAAAGGCCCACACAGATCTCAACCTTAAGTTTATCAAGTATCTTATTAGTCTGGTCTTACTTAAGTAGGATATCAAAATACCTAATGTAGTCTTGGTAGTTATGGAGGAATGCAAGATGATTAACTGTTAGACACATTTATGATAGTCTGAGCAGGACACATTCCTGAGATGCATCCTTATCTCCACTAAAACACATTCAGCTGAGGATGAGCTGAGACAGGACCAGTATCTTCCATGAAAAAGCAATGCTTCATGCAACTCAACTGAGCACGCTCTTTTCAAAGATTGACAACTACACCACAATGAATGCACATTCGGGTCAAAACCATGAACACAAAGCTTCAGCATTCACACCACTGCAGTGTTTCATAATTTTTGAGGCCACAGTGTCAGCTTTAGAAGGTACATATTTTAGAAAAGTCAAAAAATGAAAATTAACCTGGTAGGTGAGAAAAATGCCTTTAACAAAAATGTGTTTGTTCTGCAATGGGTATAATCCATTCTTAAAAAAAAAAAAAATCAAGTATTGTTGAGGATTCTAAGTTGGTTTTTTTTCTGTTTTTTTAATCTATTGTAGGAAATTCATAGTTGCATTAATTGTTCAAAGATTTTCCTCAAACTTAAACAGTGATTTTAAGAACGTCTGGAATCTTTTCTGACAGCTTCTGTACTTACTTTTAAATCCACTCTTCATTTTCAAACAACAAATGGTGATGTTTGAGCATTTCTGACACTTTTAAGAGTGCTAGAAGTACTTCAGAAATGCAACACTGGTTCCGTATTAACTCAATTTTTTCACTTGATGCGAATCTGTTCTAACATTTGAAAACTAATGAGCTCATGAAAAAAACTTCCAGAAAAAAAAGAAAATATTATTTTGGACTCATCTTGGCAATGTCTTTCAAACAATGGTCTCAGAAGATTTCAGGGGAAAAAAAGTATTTTTCATTTTCCACTTGGAGCGAGTCCAGAGGAGGCCACGAAGATGATCAGAGGGCTGGAGCACCTCTCCTATGACGAAAGGCTGCGAGAACTGGGCTTGTTCAGCCTGGAGAAGAGGAGGCTCCGAGGAGACCTCATTGCAGCTTTCCAGTATCTGAAGGGGGTACTGGGAGAGGACGTTTTACAAGCGGCTGCAGTGATAGGACAAGGGGTAATGGGTATAAATTGAAATCAGGGAGGTTTAGATTAGATGTCAGGAAGAAATTCTTCACAGAGAGGGTGGTGAGGCACTGGAACAGGTTGCCCAGAGATGTTGTGGATGCCCCATCCCTGACTGTCTTCAAGGCCAGGCTGGATGTGGCTTTGAGCAACCTGGTCGAGTGCAAGGTGTCCCTGCCCATGGCAGGGGGGGTGGAACTAGATGATCTTTAAAGGTCCCTTCCAACCCAAACCATTCTGTGATTCTATGATTCTAAAAATCCTGACCACCTCCCTGACACCGAAGAGGTATACAATAAATTTAGATGTAGATGACAGTACAGGAAACCTGCCAGACCGTGCAGAGTGGCACAGCTATACAAGCAGATTCCTCCCAGCTTAGTATAGTGGCAAAACTGCTCTGAAGGTAAAGTTACTATCAGTCTCCAGGCAAAATAAAAGATACGCTGCCAAAAGCGGCTACAGGTTTGTTACGACTGCATTTTAAAACACAGAACTGAGACTGCTCAGTATTTCCAAAACCAGTCAAATGCCCCAAAGATGACTGTAAAACTGGCTTTAGTCCTAGGGTTTGGAAGCTGTGAAACTGAAAATTTATATTTGATTTTGCTTTTCAGATATTCTGGCGATGCTTTGGATACCATGCCACTCTGGGATAAAGCTGCAACAGCGCTAAGAGAACGAGTTTAAAAGGTTTTGGTAGCCATGAGGGGAACATTCAAATGGCACGTCACCTGCAACAGTAAGACACTGCAGTTTGGGGAGAAAGCAAATTTTTTTTTCAGAAATTTTCATGGAGTGGAAGTAGTATGCAGAACAACAAGAAAAGGAGAAACTGAGATGAATGAGCATGATAGCAGTCTCGGCATTGTGAACAGCAGTGCTTTAGTATTGCAATAATTAAAGACTTTGGAATGTGACAGGTACAAAAGCTCAGGAAATGCACAGGAGCTTCCAAGATCAAAGGCAGCATCCAAGATGCAAAGGAATAAATGGTACAGAGTTACTGTATGTTTCACTAAAAATACATGCAAGATGTGTAGCTCTGATGATCCATATGACAGATTCCACCAGAATGAGTGAATGCAAGTTGACCAAACTAGCTGCCACGGCTTCATTTTCACTTGGAGGAGAATTGACTCCCTAAGCATTAATCTAGAAGATGATATCTGACAGAGGCAAATATAATTTTGTTTCCTAGGGATATAATAAAATTATATTCCTATTCCTAGGATATATACCCTACATATATACCCTACTCCTAGGGTTTAAAAAAAAAAAAAAAAAGCATCATCCCAGATTTCCGAATTCTTCCACTTATTTCAAGAGGCT